TCTTGAACTCCTGACCTCATGATCCACCCACCTCAGCCTCCCAAAGTGCTGAGATTACAGGAGTGAGCCACTGCACCCAGCCAATCAATCCCGGTTTTGAAATGCAATTCATGAGATATTTGCAGAAAAGTGAATTTGGCAATATATTGGAATCTTTCTATAATGGAATTGGAAGATCAATAAAAACTATTTGAGCAGGCTTAGCCTTTCATAGTTGTCAGTTTCTAGAGCATGATTTGACCCATAGTTCATCTGAATACATTTAATGAGCTCCGTTACAACATGATTATACAGAGTCTACAAACACAAACTTCTATTCCTCCAGAGAAAGACATTTTCAGCTGAGTTTTTTATTATGAAGTAACCATCTGCTTCATCTGTAATGTTACACAGCTTTTGTGAATGCATCCTCAGTCTCATGGTTTCTTCCCTTAGTTTATATTTCTAGAAAGTATCTAGAAGTATTTAGGTAAAAGCAAGGTATTTACCCAGTGGTTTATGTATAATTCACCCTTCAACCCTTTTGGGACAGCAGAAGGAACAGCAGTTACCTATTCTGCAAAGCTTGCCCCATCACTTGCCATTTTGAAATTTTTCCTTGCCTGCCTTTTAAACCTAAGTCAAATCCTGATGCTATCAGAAGAGCCTGGGGTGCAAGTTTCAACTTGGCTTCATCTTCAGTCTAACTATCTTTTTTTATTTTTTATTTTTTTGTGGGGCCACCCCAAAAGCCAGGTTTATTGGGCCCCAACCGGGAAAATAAGAGGAGCCCTTGGCAGCACTGATGAGCTCATCTGCCAGGCACTCCGCAATGTTCTTGATGTTCCCGGAAGGCAGCCCCAGAAGCGCCTGTGCACAGTGGCCAGATGGCCTGATTCACGCTGTGCAATGGGGACACATCCACAGCCTGTCGTCTCACAGTCCCAGCTTGCCCAACGCACGTGGAGTCCTCCTGGGGGCCACTGTTGATGATGGCGTTCACCAGGATGTGCAGAGGGTTGTTGCCTGTGAGCAGCTGGATGATCCCGAAGGCATGCTTGACGATGAGCACGATCATGAACCTCTTGCGGTTGTTGCAGCCGTGCATCATCATGGAGTAAGTGAGGCACTCCAGGATGGGGCACTGAGCTTTGCGGAAGCATTGGTGGCATGTTGCTCTGCGCCGTGAGGCAGGTAGTTGGCATACTGCTCCTTCACTGCAGTGTAATCCTGCAGGGAGATGCCATAGATCTGCACATCATTGGAGCTCCACTTCCCAAAGAGCTTGATCCCTGGGCTCTCTGCCACCACTGGTGCTGCTGTCTCCCACTCGGTCATCCTGTGGGCACAGCCTGAGCATCTCTATGGCTCGGCATGCACCACACGCCGCCCTGGCCCAGTCCAGCGATTAATACTTTGAACCATAGTAGTGGTTCAGAACCACCTAACGAACTTTGGGGAAAATTCAGGTATGTGGGTCTTCCCCAAATTTCATGAGACATAAGGAGCCATAACCAGATCAATGTCATGGAGAAAGTGGTAGAATACTGATGTGAAGTACAGGGTGAGACTGGCCAGTTGGAGAGGGGCCAGTTCATTCATGGCCCCTGGGCAGGTGTAGTTATTGATCTTCCATCTGAGAGCAAGGGGAAGCCACTGGGTCTGAGAGGGAGAGGAAAGACCACTGAGGTCCGTGCTCACCCTTTTTTTTTTTTTGAGATGGAGTTTCACTCTTGTTGCCTACGCTGGAGTGCAATGGCATGATCTGAACTCACTGCAACCTTCACCTTTCCAGTTCAAGTGATTCTCCTGCCTGAGCCTCCCGAGTAGCTAGGATTACAGGTATGCACCATTATGCCTGGCTAACTTTTGTATTTTTAGTAGAGATGGGGTTTCACCATGTTGGCCAGGCTGGTCTCAAACTCCTGCCCTCTGGTGATCCACCTACCTTGGCCTCCCAAAGTGCTGGGACTATAGGTGCGAGTCACCTTGCCCGGCTTGTGCTTGCTTTTTAAATCAACCTGGCCACTGTGTGGGGATTTGATTGGAGTGGGACAAACGTGGATGGAGGTAGCCTAGCTGGAAAGATTTTGTAATAATCCAGGCAGTTTGGCCTAGGAAAGTGGTGGTAGAGTAAAAGAGGAGCGGACGGATTGGAGAGGCGTTTAGGAAGTGAAACCAGCTGAGAGATGTTGGTAATTGATTGGATATAGATAGGAGCGGGGAAAAAGGTATCAAAATAATCCCTAGGATTCTGACAAAGGCAGGAATTTAAATATCTGACTAGCCCTTCTGAACTTGCCCCGGGACTTGGATGATGGCCATTCCTGGCAGAGTGTCATGAATCAGTGGTTCACCAGCATGATATGTCCTAAAGGGGTGGCTGCTCACACCACCATAGCCTGCCTCCCAAGAATAATACAGTCATGGAACACTTTATGCCTCTTCTTAGCAAATACAGTTTACAATTGTTAGGAGGGCATTGTATTTGATATTTAGAAACTCAATCACCAAATGAAATAAAATTGACAAGGGCAAATATTTATTTATTAAAATATTTTGTCAATGCTTAAAAAAATAAAAGCCACTTAGAAGTGCATCCTAATTCATCTATCTTACCATATACAGGTAAATATACACTGTAAATATACATACATAGTGAGTGTAGGTTTATATACTTTGGTAAAGTGTGGTGTGCATAAGGCATCTTTTTAAATAAATAAAGACAGGGTCTTGCTATGTTGCCCAGGCTGGTCTTGAACTCCTGGCCCCAAGCAATCCTCCCACCTCAGCCTCCCAAAGTGCTGAGATTACAGGCATGAGCCATGGCACCCAGGCAGGTACAGGCAATTTTGAGAATCTAATTGCTTTTCATATTTTTCCTTCTTAATCCCTTAAAAGCAACATAATATCACCATGATTTATATGGTTAAGAAAATGGTTCCAGCCAGGAGAGATGACTCACACCTGTAATCCCAGCACTTTGGGAGGCCAAGGTGGGCAGATCAAAACCAGCGTGAGGTCGGGAGTTCAAAGCCAGCATGTCCAACATGGAGAAACCCTGTCTCTACTAAAAATACAAAAATTAGCTGGGCGTGGTGGCTCATGCCTGTAATCCCAGCTACTAGAGAGGCTGAGGCAGGAGAATCACTTCAACCCAGAAGGTGGAGGTTGTGGTGAGCCAAAATTGCACCATTGCACTCCAGCCTGGGCAACAAGAGTGAAACTCCGTCTCAAAAAAAAGAAAGAAAGAAAAAGAAGGCCGGGTGTGGTGGCTCACACCTGTAATCCCAGCACTTTGGGAGGCCGAGGCGGGTGGATCACGAGGTCAAGAAATCAAGACCACCCTGGTCAACATGGTGAAACCCCATCTCTACTAAAAATACAAAAAATTAGCTGGGCATGGTGGCGCGCGCCTGTAATCCCAGCTACTCGGGAGGCTGAGGCAGGAGAATTGCCTGAACCCAGGAGGGGGAGGTTGCGGTGAGCCAAGATCACGCCATTGCACTCCAGCCTGGGTCACAAGAGTGAAACTCCGTCTCAAAAAAAAAAAAAAAAAAATGAGAAAGAAAAAGAAAATGGTTCCATTTTTAGAAAATAGGTAGTGTCATTTTTTTTCTTTTTTGAAACTATGTGTGACTTTTAATGTGCAAGTCAACACTCAATGATCAGTTGATGCTTCATAGACTGGTACAGGACCTCCACTCTCTCATTTACATGACTGATAAAAAAGTTCTGAGTGGGCAGGTGCAGCTCTTTGGGAGGCCGAGGCAAGTGGATCAAGAGGTCAGGAGATCCAGACCATCCTGACCAACATGGTGAAACCCAGTCTCTACTAAAAATACAAAAATTAGCCGGGTCTGGTGGTGCACACCTGTAATTCCAGCTACTTGGGAAGCAGTGGCAGGAGAATCGCTTGAACCTGGAGGCAGAGGTAGGAGAATCACTTGAACCTGGGAGCAGAAGTTGCAGCCGAGATCACCCCACTGCCCTCAAGCCTGGGCGACAGAGTGAGACTCTGTCTCAAAACAAAACAAAACAAACAATAAGTTCTGAGAAAGTCAAGCAGGTTAGCTGGTGGTCTCTCAGTAGCAATCAAGTGACAGGTTCAAATTCCAGAGGCTCTTCTCTGAACCACTACCTTGGTCCTAGCAGGTGTTGGATAAATGTACATACGCCCTCTCTTCCAAGCCAACACTCCTGAAAAGAATGTTCCTTTTCAGAGGAGGCTATTGGAAAGAACTTGACAAAGAATTTGAGTCTTCCATCTTTCCTCTTCTTGTTGTTGAAATGGCTTTACCAGTAAACTGCTGCTAATGAGGTGGTTTATCTGGTTTTATTGCCCTTAATTTTATTACCTGCCCAATATAATCTTGGCTGGAACTCCCCTGCTTAGAGGCTTGGGAAAGCTTTCCATCTAGGAAAGCCCCACCCCAGGAGGGTTTTTGCTTTCTTGGGTGTAAGTTCTGGGCCAGGCCTGCAGGCTGAGATGCTTGCTATGCTAACAGCCTAATTTAGAAGCTCTAAACCATTCTACATTATCGGGCTTAGATGGAGGTAGACACAATCCAGAGAACCAAGATTAAATGAATAACCAAAGGAGAGAGGCAAAGATCAAAGATCTGTTTCTCCATCTCCCAAGGTCATGAGAATCTGTACCGCAGGTTTTACTTGTCTTAGCATCCACCCACTGAGAATCCTGTGTGTGGGGAGAGACGTCAGTCATCTGGAGCCTTAGCTGACGGCTGAGGGGCTACAGCCCCTCACATACGTGAAGTCAGGCAATCGGACTGAGAGTGGGGAGGTGAACAGAGAAACAAGCAGGTGGGAAATGGAGGAAGTGGGGTTTAGTTTTCAGTGAGGAAGGGCAGAGCGTTCCCTGTCCTTCATCTGGCACTGGGCCCAATCTTGCTATTGCACTTCTCCAAGGAAATCGCTCTCTTTCTCCCCACCCCTCCCCTGCAAACCTAGCTCACTGCATTTCTTTTTATTATTTTATTATTTTTAGTTTTGTAATTCAATCCCCTTAAAGACTGCCAAAAAGTGCTAATGCCGACTATATTTCAAGTCATCATGGCAGAGTATTAGGAAAATTTTCAATTAGCAATAACCGTGTCTCAGATAAACCTCATTGGCTATGATACTGCCTGCCACTGTGCAAAGCTGCTTACTGCATTTCTAGGGAGCAGGTTTGTCCCTTGGGACTCCAAGCCCCATCTCACTGCCCACATCCACCAATCATGTTTTCAGATGCAGCTGTCACCACCAGTTCAAAAGCCTGGTGTTCCCGCGCCCACTGCCTTCTAGACCCTTATGGAACATTCTTCCCGATACCTTTGGTGTAAACGCCCGTAATAAAACGCATTCGGAGCTATGCCTTATGTGTCGACGTGCAGCTCTTTCTCAACTACTCATGGAAAATGTGCTTTCTCTTCCTTCTTTGCTCCCCCACCCTCACTTTCTGCTGCTGGTTTGACCACAGCTGGCTGTAGGCCAAGAAAATGTGGGTGGGCAGGTGCCAGGGCCTGGCTGCTGAAAGCCGAGGGAGCCCAGGCTGCAGAGTGCGGGGGCAGCAAAGAAGGAGGGCGGAGCTCATAAACTTTCTCCAAAAGTTTGAGAACATTTTGGTGGTGGTGGTGGTGTTTAACTGTGTAGTGAGAAAATGTGAAAATACTCATTCTGAGTAAGAACAAGTTATGTTCCTCTTGGACTGCTCTCAGATATACATTATTAAGTGAAAATGCCCTGTGATAGCCTACTGGCAGTGTCTAATTCTTTGTGCTGTTTATTTTCCTTTTTATTTCTTTTATTTTTTTAGATGGATGGAGTTTTGCCCTTGTAGTCCAGGCCAAGTGCAACGGTGCTATCTCAGCTCACCTCAACCTCTGCCTCCCAGGTTCAAGCGATTCTCCTGCCTCAGCCTCCCAAGTAACTGGGATGACAGGCATGTGCCCAGCTAATTTTGTGCTTTTATAGTAGAGATGGGGTTTCTCCATGTTGGTCAGGTGGGTCTCAAACTTCTGACCTCAGGTGATCTTAGCCTCTCAACGTGCTGAGATTACAGGCATGAACCACCAAGCACGGCCTCTTTTTTTTTTTACTTTAAATTCTGGGTTACACGTGCAGAACTTGCAGGTTTGTTCAAAGGTATACGTGTGCCATGGTGGTTTGTTGCACCTATCAACTTGCCATCTAGGTTTTAAGACCCGAATGTATTATTTGTCCTAATGCTCTTCCTCCCCTTTCCCCCCACCTCCCCCACAGTCCATGGTGTATGATGTTCCCCTCCCTGTGTCCATGTGTTCTCATTGCTCAACTCCCACATATGACTGAGAACATGCAGTGTTTGATTTTCTGTTCCTGTGTTAGTTTGCAGAGAATGATGGTTTCCAGTTTCATCCATGTCTCCACAAAGAACATGAAACTGCTGTTTGTTTTCTAAGACCATGCATACACACACATGCGCACACACACACAGACACACACACTTTTATATGCATAAAACTTTTCTAGCCAGGTGTGGTGGCGGGTGCCTATAGCCCCAGCTACTCAGGAGGTAGAGGCTGGAGGAGCGCTTGAGTCCAATAGTTCTGGCCTGTAGTGCGCTACGCCGATCGGGTGTCTGCACTAAAATTCAGCATCAATATGGTGACCTCCCAGGAGCGGGGGACCACCAGGTTGCCAAAGGAGGGGTGAACCAGCCCAGGTCAGAAACAGAGCAGGTCAAAACTCCCGTGCTGATTAGTAGTGGAATGTGCCTGTGAATAGCCACTGCACTCCAGCCTGGGCAACACAGCGAGATCCCATCTCCAAAAAAATAAACAAATAAAATAAAAAATAAAAGACTTTTCTAGAAGGAGAAACAGAATTGTTTACAGTGATCGCCCCTGAAGAATGAGTTGGGTGTGTGTTACGGGTGGGGGAACTTGTACTTTTTGTTGTATATACTTCTGCAATTTGTTTTTTACTCTATTACATGTAGTGCCTTTATAATAAACAAATCTAAAAATTTTTAAATGAAATATTATTAGAAGAAAAAAAGAAATATTCTCTGTCTCTCAGTGATTTACTCAGAATCGTTAATAAGGTACTAAGAGGAAGCTGAGGCTGAATAATACAGGATAATTCCATCTTACCTAGTAGGTTAAACAACTTATAATAATACCGTTCTGAATATTTATTATGCAAAATAGTAGTTGCCCTTACTTTGCGTACTTTATTTAATACTTGTCAAAATCAAATAAGGTAGCTACTTTACAATCGCCATCTCACAAATCAGAAAACAGGCTTAAAGAAGTCACATACTAGGCCAGGTGCCGTGGCTCATGCCTATAATCACAGCACTTTGGGAGGCTGAGGCAGGTGGATCACCTGAGGTCGGGAGTTTGAGACCAGCCTGACCAACACGGAGAAACCCCCGTCTCTGCTAAAAATGAGCCAGGCATGGTGGCGAATGTCTGCAATCTCAGCTACTCAAGAGGCTGAGACAGGAGAATCCCTTGAACCCCCAGGGAGGCAGAGGTTGTGGTGAGCTGAGATCATGCCATTGCACTCCAGCCTGGGCAACAAGAACAAAACTCCATCTCAAAAAAAAAAAAAAAAAAAGAAGTCACATATTATTCACAAGGTCACACAGCTAGTTAGTGAGAGATATGGGAACTAAACACTTCATAAGGTCAGAACACATTTACCTCCTCTACCACTAAATCTCCAAGTCTTAGCAAAGTCTCTGATACTTGGCAAGGGACACAAACATATTTGTTGAATAAATGAATAATAGATATATTATTAAATATATACATATGCCCCCAACTACTATATTGAATTCAAAAGCTATACTTGGGCCGGTACAGTGGCACACACCTGTAGTACCATCTACTCAGGAGGCTGAGGCAGGAGAATCACTTGGGCCCAGGAGTTCAAGGCTCCAGTGAGCTATGATTGAATCAGTGCACTTCGGCCTGGGTGATGATTAATACCCCATCTCTAAAGAAACAAATAATTTTTTTTTTTTTTTTTTTTTTTTTTACAAATAATTTTTTTAAATGAGGCCAGGCACAGTGGCTCACGCCTCTAATCCCAGCACTTTGGGAGGCTGAGGTGGGCGGATCATGAGGTCAGGAGTTCGAGACCAGCCTAACCAACATGGTGAAACCCCGTCTCTACTAAAAATACAAAAATTAGCCGGGCATGGTGGTGCACACCTGTAGTTCCAGCTACTCGGGAGGCTGAGGCAGGAGAATTGCCTGAATCCAGGAGGTGGAGGTTTCAGTGAGCTGAGATTGTGCCACTGCCTTCCAGCCTAGGCAACAGAGAGAAATTCCATCTAAAAAAAAATTAATTAATTAAAAAAATCAAATAAATAAATAAATAAAAAGTTATACTTACGGCAGACAAAAAGCACTTTGTCAGCAAGAGGTCCTGAATCACAGTGGCATGAAAAGAGACCCAAAACCCAAGCTAAGCCTCATCTATTGGTTTCTGCTCTAAAACTTCAGCTTCCTACTCCCCACTCACCTACAGGAGTGATTTCGTTCTACCAACTGACTTACTACCCTAGCACTTTATTCATTCATCAAATGTGCATTGAGCATCTCCTAGGTACCTGGCACTGAGGCTATTGCAGTGGTAAACATAGACAAGGTTACATTTTTTAAAACATTTTTATTTTAGTTTTCGTCCAAATGGGAAAGACAGAGAAAAACATAATTAAACAAGAAAAGTATCAGGCTGATTAGTACTTAAAAAACAAAAAAAACTTGGCTGGACCTGGTGGCTCATGCCTGTAATCCCAGCACTTTGGGAGGCCAAGGCAGGTGGAACACCTGAGATCAGGAGTAGGAGACCAGCCTAGCCAACATGGTGAAACCCTGTCTCTACTAAAAAAATACAAAAAAATTAGCTGGGTGTGGTGGCAGGTGCCTATAATCCCAGCTACTCAGGAGGCTGAGGCAGGAGAATCACTTGAACCTAGAGGCAGAGGTTGGAGTGAGCCTAGAATGCACCATTGCACTCCAGCCTGGGCAACAAGAGCGAAACTCCATCTTGAAAAACAAAAACAAGAACAGAAAAAAAAACACCCTATTTAAAATAGATGCCTTGGCTGGGCGCGGTGGCTCACGCCTGTAATGACACCACTTTTGGAAGCCAAGGAGGACAGATCATGAGGTCAGGAGATTGAGACCATCCTGGCTGACACAGTGAAACCCCATCTCTACTAAAAAATTATCTGGGCGTGGTGGCACATGCCTGTAGTCCCAGCTACTCAGAAGGCTAAGGCAGAAGAATCACTTGAACCTGGGAGGCAGAGGTTGCAGTAAGCCGAGATCGTGCCATTGCACTCTAGCCTGGGTGACAGAGCAAGACTCCATCTAAAAAAATATATATATATATGTCTTGTAGGGCATTGGTGGAGGGTTGTAGCAGGCTCCGGATGCTGGTATCAGTACTTTAAAACAAAACAAAACAAAAAAAATGGTGCCACAAAGCCCAATTATTTTTATGAAGAAAAGTTACATATATAAATACACACACACACACACACACATTTATATATCTATTTAAGGCATATATATATATTTAAGGCAGAGTCTCACTCTCTGTCATCCAGGCTGGAGTGCAGTGGCACAATCTCAGTTTGCTGCAATCTCCGCCTCCCAGGTTCAAATGATTCTCCTGCCTCAGCCTCCTGAGTAGCTGAGACTACAGGTGCCCACCACCACACTTGGCTGATTTTTAGTAGAGACAGGGTTTCACCAAGTTGGCCAGGCTGGTCTGGAATTCCTGACCTCAGGTGATCCACCAACCTTGGCCTCCCAAAGTATGGGGATTACAGACATGACCCATTGCTTGAGCCCAGGAGGTGGAAGTTGCAGTGAGCCGAGATCGTGCCATTGCAATCCAGTCTGGGCAACAAGAGTGAAACTCTGTCTCAAAATAAAAAAAAAAAATCCTTTTAAATAAGTTACTGAAAGCAAAAAAATTGATACAGACCCTTACCTCACAACATAACCAAAAAAAGTTAACTCAAAATGAATCAGAGACCTAAATGTAAGAGCTAAAAATACACAACTTTTAGAAGAAAATACAGGAGAAAAATCTGCGAACTTGTGTTGAGCAGAGATTTTTGAGATACAACACCAAAAACATGACCATTAAAGAAAAA